GCTTTGTTCCCCCCCCCCTTTTTTTAAAAAAAAATTCTGCAACACAGCACCAGTCTTTAGTAAGATCCAAGGAGAGCGAATTTTCAAATGATTCTGTTCCAGACTGCTGCCAGTATGAATAGGAATCTGTGTTTCCCATTCTTCAGATTTATCTATTTCAGTGGTTCTCAACCTGTGGGTCAGGACCCCATTTGGGGTTGATCGACCATTTCATGGGGGTCGCCAAGCAAGGCTGTCCGCCATTTTTTTTGTCCGCCATTTTTTTTGTCCGCCATTTTTTTCCCCTTTTCCAGCGGGTGCCTTACCTCCCTTGGGCTGGGCCAGCTGGTGGTCGGCCTGCTCCGTCTCTGCCGCTTGCCAGCTATGCCTCGGCCAGCGCAGGGGGCAGAACCACGCATGCGCGGCGCTCCTGGGCAGGGAAAGTCCTCGCCTTACGACCGGTTGGGTAGTCCTTGACTTATGACCGGTTTAGTCCTCGACTTACGACCGGTTTAGTCCTCGACTTACGACCGGTTGGGGTCGCGGCATTAAAAAGGTTGAGAACCACTGATCTATTTGGTGTCAGAGAAACATAAGCAGGCCATGGAGGCTTTTCAGACCCTAGAGAGAATAACCAATAGCCACATTTAGTCCCTGTGTTGCATTTCTGTGGTGGCACAGTGGTTAGAATGCTGTATTGCAGGCTAATTCTGCTGACTGCCAGCAGTTTGATTCTTACCAGCTCAAAGTTGACTCAGCCTTTCTTCTTGGTTGGTAAAATGAGGACCCAGATTGTTGAGGGCAATATGCTGACTCTGTAAACTGCTTAGAGAGAGCTGTAAAACACTGTGAAACGATATATACGTTTAAGTGCTATTGTTGTTGCTATTTCTATGGATAACAGCCACATTTCCTTTGTTTCCTTGCAATTGCCCATCATCCACTGTTGCTAAGGATATATGAGAATGCTTACCAGTTCCTAGAACTGTACTGTGATGCCTAGGACAACCACACCTTTTATTTCGTATGTGACTGACTACCAGTGCTTGCGAAACTAGTTAAGTTGCCTGCTGAGTCTGCCAAAATCAGATGAATAACCAAACAGCCGCCAGACAGCCAAGCATGATTGATGTAGCTGCTTTAGTTTTGGTTAGTTTCAAGTATGCCTTTATTAATGCCTTATTTAGCAAGGATAAAAGGACACATGAAACCTCTGCCCATTTATCATTTGATTTGTTTCTTCCAGTTATCCCAAATAAGTATCATTTGGTTTTACATGAATCATTTTAAAAGCTATTATTTCTACATTATTATGCTAATTACCATTACTATAACAATTACTATTCTCTATCATACTACTAATCAATTATTATTACAATATTTCCTTTATACTATAATATATAGTATAACTTATTATTACAACATTTCCTCTTTACTGTTACTATACTACAGTAGTATTATTAGCTGTGTTTTCTTCTTACAAACCCTGCCTTCTGCCTTAATTCCTCTCTCTTTGGGAGTTCTTCTGCTTTATTCTTCACTGTTACCGTAATGATCGGCACATATTTGCACCTTTCCACATTGTGCTTTGATTTGCTGTGCCTATATACCTGTACTTCTTTTTCTTCTGGATCATCCACTCCCTTTGAAGGAAAAAATTTATTTGGCTGCTTTTCTCTGTTCACTGGTGGTTACAGAGCTCCCAAAACACACTTCTCCTCCCAAATCTGTTTCAAAGTTGAGCTTTATTGGCAACTCTGCTGTGCTGACGCTGGAGAAAAGGTTCAAATGGGAGGGAAGGAAGACAGCACAGGTCCCTACAATTTTTTTTAAGTAGCCTACTCTCCCACAGCAGCGCAGAGCAGCAGCTTGAAGTTGCAGAGGGAATATCGATCTTTTCCATGAGAAGAAATCATTTCCATCTCACTGAACTTTTAAAAAATCAGTATATGATTACTAATCCCTAGAGAAAGACACTCCCCATTCTAGCAGGAAAGCCCTCCCATTCCCCCATTGTTGTTGTTGTTGTTGTTATTTGGTGGGAGAGTCTTAATTCATGGAACTGTTCTTCCAATCCAGGCTGGGAAGAGAGATGTTCGAGAAAGCAGCATGGCCAAGGGAGAGTGACTCTATTTACTCTTAGGAATTTCCTTAAATCACTCTTTGGGTGGGTAGCCTTCTTATCAGGATAACTATTTTCTTTTACTTCATTTAATCCTTGTTCTTCATTTACTTCTGGGGGCCTAAAACAGGAGATCCCACCATAGACCAGTTCCTCCCAGATCCCATTCAGAGCATTATCAAGTTCCTTTATGAATATACAGTGAATAATAAAAGGGCAAATCAACCCTGCCCCACCACACCTTCATGAGGGTGGGTATTGGTTGATTTTTCTCACCAGTGGTTGAAACTCATTGGGGAGAAGGAAGGATTAGCAGGGAATCCATTACAGGTAGTCCTTGACGTATGACTACAATTGAACCCAAAATTTATGTTGTTAAGTGAGACATTTGTTAAGTAATTTTTTGTCCCATTTTATGACCTTTCTTGCCACAGGTGCTAAGAGACCCCACTGCAGTTGTTAAGTTAATAACACAGTTGTTAAATGAATCTGACTTCCCCATTGACTTTGCTTGAGTTAGATACAATAGGTGGTCGCAAAAGGGGATCACATGACCCCAGGAATCGGGAATCGTCATAAATACATGCCAATTGCCAAGTGTTCAAATTTTGATCATGTGTCCACGGGGCTGCTGCAACAGTTGTGAGTGTGAAAAAGAGTCATAAGTCGCTTTTTTCAGTGCCGTTGTAACTTCAAATGGTCACAAAACGAACTGTTGTAAGTCAAGGACTACCTGTATTTACTGCCCTTGAAACCACTCCATGTCCTTTGTGTGACGGCAGCAACACTGTACCTGCAGTACAGTCAAGGTAGATTGTGGGAAGCAGCACAACTTAGGTTGACCTGTTTTCTTCAAGTATGGAAGGAAAGTACATTAAACGTGGCTGAGAGGGAGTGCCTTGACAGACAACCTTCATTACTATTGTGGTCCATCAGCTGCCAGCGGAGCTAGCAGCAGAGTCAGAGAAGGAGGGGGAGGGGGAGCCTGGGTCAACCTCGAAGCCTTTGGAAGGCTCTGATGAGGAAGCAGAATCAGAGGCAGAGCCGGCACCGTCTGTCCATGCCTAGGCGGAGAGGCAGCTGTCTTCGGGGCCTGAGCTGAGTGAGGGGGAGGAACAGATGGGACCCATCCCAGATGAACGTATGCGTAGAGAGGGGAGGAGAGCAACAGAAGGCAATAAGCCGGCTCTCAGGGAAAAGAAGACGTAGACCCTAGCCATCCCCTCCCTGGCTGGGAAATAAATAGTAGGGGTTTGGGAGTGGCCTATTGTCACAGACAACCTTGAATTTTCCAGGGTACATCAATCAAGTTGGATTCCTTTGCCAGAACCAGGTTTGTTGGGACTACGGGATCTATATTTGAGGTGCCAACTGAGTCTCTCTGCTGGAAGCTAATAGGTAGTGAATTTGCAGCCAGTGTGAACAGGGACTGTTTCTGCTTGGCTTAATCCTTGAAAGACTTTCTATCTGGAGGTCTCAAGTGTATAGAGACTGTTTTTGCCCTGTGTCAGAAGGGGAAAAGACTTTTCTTTATGACCACTTCTTTTTGGTTTCATCTACCCAAGGTGAACAAAGATGGTTTCTGCCCTGTTTTTTTGTTTTACTCACAAGTAAGCAGTTTCTCATTACATGCAAAGGCTGGGTCAGAACAATTACAGATTTGTCTAGAAATGCCATAAATTAATATCATTCCAGTGTCATTGCCATTAAATCAGGAATGTGGTATAAGCATTAACTAACATTCATGGAAAACAAATTAATATACTCCCAGTTTGCCTAGAAATACCGTCTCAGCTTCCATGTCCCAAGCAGCTAAGATAAGAAACAGCTTGACTTTGGAGTTGTTTTTATTGTTGTGGCTTTTTGTAAAAATAGGACCTTTGGACACCAAAGTAAAACAGCTCAAGCAGTAATACTTTCCCATGCTCTTGCCCCCCAGAAGGAAGAAATAACCAAGAGTCTCATTCAGGCAGGTATAAGCATACAAATAGCATACACACTCTGTATATTTCCAAGCTGCAAGTTCTTTTTTTTTTTTCAACTGACAGCCAAAGGAGGCAAGGCAATGCTCCAGAGACAGTAGGGGCTGAAATTTAGACCAACTAGTAAGGAGCACTTTGACGTATGGGAACATTTGGCTTGGGAAAGCTAGACTATGCTGGCTGGCCACAGCTTCTCACTGATTATAGACATGGGCTGCTATATTCAGTTAGAATTGAGAGAAATATGAATATTTAAAGTCTAAGCTCCCATCTTGTGTTATTTACTTAATGGTGGGGGAATCAGCATTTATAAAATCCAATCACAAGTGTGGATTATTGGATAATATACTGGCCTATAAATGTGTTTCCATTTCATTCTATAGCAAAACAGCCTCGGGACTTGCTAACAGCATGAAATAACATGAACTTGGTGAGACTCATATACTGTATACTGATTGGCACTGACACTTTATCCCGTCAACCCATAAGCTGCATAGTGACTGAACAATATGGATTTATTTTACTGAATGATATGTTTGGCTTCTCCTTGTCTTCACTCCATATGTCCTGCATTTTGTCAAACTTTGGTGGAATTTAAAGACTGTGTGTCCATGGATATAAACTTTAGACTTATTAGAAGAATAGCTTTATGATTAACTGAATGGCCAATTAACATTGTGTCATGGCTAAACTATCAATATTGCATAAATCTGATTTCGTCCTAGAGGGGGGGGGAAAGGATTTCTATAAGCTCTATTCTAGGCAAAAGGCTGTATATGATCACAGCTGACATATGGATATTCCCACAGCAGCTTCTCATGGCGTTTTTAACTGCTGACAGCCTACAGACTCTAATTTTATTATTTTCAAGACCCATTTTCAATTGCCATAAAGAAGCCAGAAAACTCAGTTGACACAGAGATATGCTGTACACATTTATTTCTTCTGGTAAGGTTTATAGCTTAGAACAACATACAGATAAGTCTTTTCTTTAAAGTGCATAGGGAATACAGGGACAAAAAAATCAATCACGGAAAGCACAGAAGCACCAAATGGCATAAATCAAATCTGAATTGAAGGGAGAAACTCAGGTTGTATGTCATCATTTAAAGTAGTTTTCAAAATTTTCCCAACAGGATGAGCAACACAGATTTTTCCTTGCTACAGAAACTCTGGAAGCGAGGTGGATACTGCTTTCTCCAATTGGGTGCCTTTCAGATACATCAAACTGCCTTGTGAAGCAGCTATGGGAAACACACTCAAACACTTATGACATACATATGATTGTGTTAGATTATTACTGCTATGCAGCAGGGCCTTAAACTGTTAAGGGAGTTGCAGTACAACATAGCTGAAGGACACCAAATTAGGGAAGAGTAACTTACATATTTAAGTTATCTGAAAAACCAGAACAAGCCCAGGAGGTGGCAGTGAGGAAGACAAGTGCTATAAATTGTGCTAACATTTAACAAAGCTCCTCTGCAACATGTACAAATAAAAATAGAGCAGTAGGAAGTGAGGCACTGCCTCAGAATTACTGTGAGAATAAAAGCTGATAAAGAAACACATTTGAAAGGGGTTGTGTATAGATCTTGAATTCAATCCAATATGGCAATTCCCCTCAACATTGTCAAGGCAGTAGTCCTGATCCATACCTGATCCAGGAATAAATTGACATTTGTCATAAAGGAGGAATGTAAGCAGTGGAGTCACCAAAATGTGTATTGGAAACAGGTGTTGGGGAAAAGGAGCAGGAAATGGCTAGCAATTTTTCTAAAGTTCAGCCAGAATAGGATGCTAGAATAAACAGATCTTTGGTCTTATTCATTAGGGCTCTCATATTTTTATGAAAAAGCTCCAATTGTATCTTCTTTCAGAATTGGGGTTTTTTTAATACTTTAAATCAAAACTGAGAACATCTTATGAGAAGATGGTAGAATCATCATCACATTGTTTAATGATAGACAAGTTCTATTTTAGGAGGTAATACCAAAGCTTGTGTGATACTAACATCAAAAGCATCTATCATGCTATTTCCTTGAGAATGCCTAATCATAATTCATATGGTCAATATACCAGAGCATTACAACAAACATCTTATCCATTAGTTATATAAAACTCCCCTATAAATTGAATAGATTGATTCTAGATTCATTTGGGAGATCTGATGGTCACTAGACTAACTTTCAGTAGCTAATTCAATCTGAATTAATTAATTAATTAGTTAATGCATGCATGCATGCATGCAGTCAAGCAGCACTAGGACACATAATATCATTCACTGTGGATTATGGATTTGGACATGGAAGATAGGAATAACTAAATGGAAAAAAAAGAATAATCCTAAAAGAAATGGAAGCTAAAAAAAAAATGAAGGAACTCAGAGTGAAGGATGCCAGTCAAGGGAATAGTGGCAAAAGGCAGAGTACACTGAAATACCTCTACAATATAAATAGGAGCTTAAATACTTCTACAATATAAATAGGGACTTTTTAATATATTTCATAAATTAAGGTAGCAATATATTTATACACACATACCCCAATATCCCTGTTTAAATACACACATTCAAACCACCTGGAAAGAAGTCTGCAGACATGTAAATAGCAAACAAAGGGACGAGCAGCTTTCCTTCAAGTCAGGATACTTAAGGATGAACAGTTCGGCTTTCCCAGTCCTAAAACATCTGGACTTAGTCCCCATTCTTCATTAACTGAAGTTTTCATAAAGTCTGACTGACCAGCTTGGTTGTAGACATTGAGCTCCATATTTGTCACTCAGAACACCTGAGATATATGTCTAGAACTGAGATAGGGAAAAGGAGGAGAAAAAATGGTATCAGATATGCCAAGTTTGTCTTCTGAATTAGTATTTCTAAACAAGGCACAGTTAACAGTAACAGCATGTTGGGAGAAGGAAAGATGAAACATCAACCGCATCAAGTCAGCCAGAGAGTAGTCAGAATCAAGATTTTAGTTAAGCATGATTTGTTGAATAATTTATAATTAGCTAGGTTCTCACATCAAGCTAATCTGTAAACCATAATACACAAATTGTAATTTGAATTCACACATTATGTTAACCAAACACATAATGGCTTACAATAATATGTGAACTATATAAATCTATTTGAACCTATCTAGGATACATGCAGCTCTCCTGCACCAAAGATCACAAAAGATTAGAGAAACGAGCCTGCCCGTGCCAGAGAATACCACTAACTATATTTGAAAGTTCAATCTGAATTAAGAAAACAATTTCCAATTTATCTACTGGAGTGTTATCCATTTTCTTCTTCTATTTTTTTTTAAAGAAAAAGACTCCCTTTTCAGAGATTCTGCAATCTTCTAATATATGGAAATACTCTGCAGAAGTACAGAAAAAGGCAATTGGTCAGGAAGCCTCAACCACATTTCCACGTAGCAGCTCTGAAAATTGATCTTTTTTATGTACTTGAGGAATTGGTCAGTTCATCCATAGATACAGAATTCATTCTTCTCCTAAAGATCTCACTGTCCAATCTGAATCTTATTTTCACTTTTTGACCCCAAAAGCACAATACAAATTGTAGGAAAGCAAATAAAAACATAAAAATCAACATTGTCTACATTTAGCTACTATACCACATTTCTGAATCATGCAAGTTAACTTCTGTACTGGAGAAAATGAATTAAAACATTAAACTTTAATCCGCAATTACTTACTTGAGGCCTCACTTAAGCATTTTCCAGATAAATGAGCCACCGTATAATCAGAGCAGGACAAAGGCCAATTCTTTCCACATCAAAACAGAGAAATCATATAGCTTAGCAGTTGCTTAACTCTTTTATTCTGTAATTTACCAGAACATCATTTTGCTTCCTCTTCAATAGAATAATCAAGTTAGTTCTCCACCCTCTTACATGCACGTTTAAACCCCAAAGAATATTACCTTCTGAGCAAGATCAATAAATTTGATCCTAGAAAGAATCCGCCTCAGTTCCCCATGATTGATTTTGGGATCTGTGTCTTTCAGAGGTACATCCCGGCTCTGTGTCATCAACGCCCACCGCAGGCGAAGCTTCCTAACAGACAGAACCCCTGGCTGGTGTTCAGAAGTGGGACTTCTTGTCACAGTAATATAAAAGGCATCTTTTTGAAGATCATTTATTCCAACTAACAGATGAAAAGGGGAACCAAAACAACCAGTTACTGGTGTTCAATAACTCACATTCAGATTCATAAAGCTAATATTTATTAGCTGCTCTTAAATGAATTCAGGTTTGGCTTCTAGTTACAGCTTACAGCTAAAAGCTAGACACGGTGATCAGCGGTCTGAAATTGCTATGAATACAAATGGCTCTGCAGAACAGATACAAGGTCACAATCACGTAGCATTTTTGACTGCACAATTACAAACAAGCAAAAACAATCTGAACTCTTAGCACATTTACAACAGCAGAAATTGTAATTGCAACAAAACATTTAACACTTATAAATGCAACCAATTTCATTAGACGAATATAAGATGCCAAGAAAAACACACCTTCGGTATTTTAGATCCTTGACAGCCTAGGCCAGTTTAATGAAATATGCAAATAACTGAATGCATTGTGCATTCAAAGGAGAAATCAATATTTAACTAAGAGGCTTAAGTACTACAAACAACCCAGCAAAAAAGAGAATTGAGCCATTATTAGCCATCACAAACTAGGACAGCTTTCAGCATTTACTTAAGCATACTTGGCTTTTTTCCCCCTATTTTTCTTGGCATACTCACTAGATGAAGCAATTACTGGGTCTGTCGTATTACTCAGGTCCAAAAGGACTGAAGGGAAAGTAGGATGGAGAAGATAAAGATGGTGAATCCTTGGCCTGGGTTCCTAAAACAGCAGCAACAATAGCAGCAGTCATAAAGGGCCCCTGTTTAATTCATCCCACTCATTTCAACAGAATTAAACTAGACCTTGTAGACCAGGGGTGTCAAACTCGCAATGTCAGGTGACGTGTCGTGACTTTTTTTCCATTGCCGGCAATGGGGTGGGTGCGGTTTCGCTATGATGCATCTGGCCCGCGGGCCGGCAGTTTGACACCCCTGTTGCAGACCAATTTATTTTTATTTATTTATTTATTTATTAAATTTATATACCGCCCTATCTCCCTTACGGGACTCAGGGCGGTGAACAGGCGATACTAAAAACCACGATAATAAATAAATAGTTTCTATTCTAAAATCGAATTAAATAATAGGCCTGTTCTAAAAACACACCCATACAAAAACCCCCACTGAAACATAATCAAACTACGCCAGGCCGGCCGCACGGAATAGATGGGCCTTCAGGGATCTATAGCCCCAGCCAGCATGACCAGTGGTAAAGGGTGATGACAGCTATACTGCAAAACACAAGATTACACAGTGTAATTAAAAGAATCTAAAGCAACTTGGAACAGAGATGAGAAAAGCTTCTAATGATCAAACAGCAGTCAGTACGTGGACGTTTCCAGTTATTACCTTCTTCAAATTCCCATAAAAATCAGTCTATGTATGCATGTCAATTATCACTATTTCATCTTGCTGCCTCCTCCACTAACCTCAATATTGCTAATAAGTTAAATTACCAGAGTTCACAATATCTGCCAGTGTTCCTTGAAAAAATTCTTGAGAGTCAGATTTTATTTTATTTTTTTATTTTATTTTATTAATTTATTTTATTTATTTTAATTTTATTTCATTTTATTCTTTTATTTTATTCCAAGAGAAGGGGGGAAAGCAGTGGTTTGCCCAAATCCATAGGTTAAGGAAGAATCAAGACTGCACTTTATATGTTTGTTAGTATCGCCTAAGTTAATAATGATAGCAACAGTGAGATGAAAGAAACTAAGATGAAAACAAGAATTTTAAAAGGTTGCTTTTTAACCTTCTAATGTTTTCTTCTCATAGGTATTCCGATGATCAATGGAGGAAATGCACAAACAGGGTAAGGAAAAGTCATTAGAAAGAATAGAAACACAACAATAACATATGAGTACCAGATTTCTCTCTTACTGTGCTAGCCCTTATTTATTAAATGTATTTTCTTCAATTCCTTACATATGTAATGCCTGTGTGGATTTATCAGACTTAGCATTAAGAGTTTGGTCAATTACTGTGTGTAGCGATATAGCTTGGCTGAGATGAATAAAGACTGTTTATGCAAGCATGGCATGAAGATTATCTCAAGGTGGTCAAAGCTGCATTGCAGTAATAAATATTACTACTGCTTACTGACAGAGTAATAAGCTCCTTTATTAAAAGACAGATGAAAGCATGAATACTGTTATTTTCGAAGACATGCACACTCTTGTAGTTGCTAAATAGTTCTCCTAAAATGTAAGGTGAGTTCCCTATCTTGGATTTATATTAGGGCAGCAGTAATTTCATAGCATGCCAGGTTAAACACAGGTTCAAAATAAACATGGTTACATCTTCCAACATATGTGATCTGACAAACATGTCCAACTCACTATGGTTAAAAAGTTTAATAAAACTGGCAAGCATTTGAAAAATAATCAACATTTCAGATATGGAAAAATATTTACCCTTTCTAAGGTAGTTAGTATGAAATTTCAAAGGAAAACACAATTTAATGTTTTCAGATGATTTGGTCTGTAGCTTCCATAATTTGCCAATGGCAATTAGGATACATGGAAATAAAACTGGAATTTGCTTCCAAATCCAGTTTAAGATTCTTACAATCTCATAATCGGAGATCAACATATTTAAGCATTCCTTGTATTTATATTACTCTGGCCCTACTTGTCAATCTACTATAAAGACTGCTCAGACAGGCAGGTACAAGAGAAATGAAAGCCTCATGTGGAATTCCTTTCCTAGGAAGAAACGTGGGTGCAAACATTTATTGGCTTTTAAAAGCTTATTTCTTATCTCTTATCATTTATATGCTTTAAAATGCATAATGCCTGGATTTTGCAGCTACTATATTGCAGTAGGCTAATCCTTTTTGCCAAAGGACATATGTAAATGGGGGGGGGGGGAGAAGAGAGAAAGAAATGTAATCTTTACTGCACTAGGAGAAGAGAGACCCAAGGATTTAGTCCTCCTATAGGCATTGAAGCTGGCTGGGTGACTTTGAGCCAGTCTCTCTCTCTCAGCCCTAGAGAGAAAAATTAACCCTCTATCTACCAACCTGATCTATACAGCATGATAGATTATGGCCCATAACTTTCAGGGAAGAATCCTTTGATTCTAAAGAAAAGGGCCAGGAAAATATTCACAGAAATAAAAATATTTTCCCCAAAAAATATTGTTTCAAAGTTCCAGAAATACATAACAATCAGAAAAAGAAGATAAAATGGGCAAAATGTTTTTCATGCCCTTATATAACTGCAGGTTGTTTTCAACAATAATTAGGTAGTGTGGTTTCAGGGCAAATGCCTCCTCCAAACTCAAGAACTCTGCACTCACCAAGCTTTTGAAGAGAGATTGCTTCTCATTAGCCCAGAAAAGAAAGACAGATTTTTTGTCCAAAGTCAGCACTGACAGTGCATCTGATTTTTTCATGTGATATGGCAGCTCATAACTCCAAACTGGCAGTCCTGATTTACCATCCACAACCAGAATCTGAAAACAGAGAAACACAGAATTAGCAAGATAAAACTTCAGGGGAGAAGAGGGGAAAAGTGGAAGAGAAGTGAAAAGGGGATTAAACACCCTTTCCACTTCTGTTGTGTTCCCTTTAATTACCATTCTTAAAAGATACACATTGTCTAGTTTGGTCCTTAATTCTCAGAAATGCATGATCATATGATAAGTATAATCAAATTCTTGTGGTCACTGTTTAGAAAAAAGCTATATGAACAGACACATTTAAATGGCTTGGACATTATGCTGCCATTAATCACAACTTGTAGGAATTAAAATCCAAAACACCAGGGGAAGGGAATTAGAACTCAAGTAATACTCCTTGTCACAATGGATCAACTGTAAAGTGCACATTGGGCAGCTATGCAAATCTTTCCCAATCTGGTGCTTTTCAAATGCAGAATTTCCAACCAGCATTGGGTTGAGAAAAAATGTAATAAACATTTACTTTGGAGCTACCTGCCTGAATAATTAGATTGCATAGGATTGTACTGTAAGAAAGCAGTGACTGCACCTTTCTAGAGACATTTCCATGCCGTGCCTGAACCATAAAGTCCGAAGTTTGATCATCATTGAAGAACCCTGGGCAAGGCTGGCTGCAAAAATGAAGAAAGCGGTCAGACTGAAAAGTAGACAAAGCAAACATCCTATGTCCATGCCTGGAGAGAAGTAACTTTTCCTTCATTGGAGCACTTCTGCATTCCTAGGAGTCCAGACTTTGTCAGAAGATACCAGACTGCTTGTCCACTGAATCTGCTCTCCTAACCAGTAATTGTCGTGAGGGGTCTTTGGTGCTCTCTGAGCTTGCTTGTTTTCTTGCAAACATTTCATTATCCTAACTAAATAACATCATCAGTGCTAGTACAGAGTGCTATTTGCTGTCAGTTTATATTCTGGAGTCTTGCTTGTGTGGGTTGGTGGGGACAGTCTTAAGGATTCTTTCCTTGGGCGGTTTACTAATGGCTCTTTGGCAGTTTCTTGACTGGGGTATTGTTTACTTGATTATTGGTCTGAAGCTGACCTTGGAGTTAATCTATGCTGATCTGAGTGCTGATTACTGGTGGGGAGGTGCTGGAGTCTTCTTCTCTTTTGGGCTAGTTGGTTGTCTCTTTTGCATAGTCTATAGATGCTATATGCCTATGTGTTTATTGATGGCTGATTTGTCAGAGTGCTAGGCTTCTAGAAATTCCCTGGAATTTTTGGATTTGGCCTGGTCTAGGATTGTCACATTTTCCCAATTAAAACTATGGTTAAATTTGTCTACGTGTTGTGAAATTAAAGAATTTTCATCATGCCTTTTGACTACCAGTTGGTGTTCATGGATGCATTCTAACATCCTAAGCAAACCAAAAGATCCAGCAACCCCAGAAGAAAAAACAGGAGTCATCTATTCTACAACATACAGTGTAAGAACTGCAGCAACCACTATGTAGGACAATCTGGCAGAAGACTGGCAGAATGCACCCATGAACATCCATGGCATAAACTAAAGATGTACTTGTTTATCTAACACCAAGGGAATAACTTAAATGAGCCAAACAACTACAAAGGGGAAATATATTCATTGCTCACTTGAAGCCGAAAAAGGCTAGTCAGATTCATGAACAGAGAAATTTTCATTAATAAGGGTTACTAGCAAGAATGTGGCAGGTAAGTGAATAACTGTCTAGCCAAAAATAGAATGAGTTCCCTGCGTCCATAATGATAAATGTTGATGTTGATTTTAGTAATTACTTTCCTCTACGTTTTAACTTATTTTCATGTCTAAGAATCAGCTTAAGACACATTACAGACATGTTATATTAATGGAATAATTAAAAAACTCCAGCCATCAAAGGTTCAGATGAATATATTTGCTTTCAGTTGCTTAGAGCTGTTCTCCAGTGGCTCTTCACAAACAGATCAACCTGACCCAACTTGATGATTCACTAGATGCGCTGAATGCCAACTCCCCAAAACCCTAGCCAGCTTAACCAAGTTTAAGGAAAGCAGATTTAAGAGAAAAACACTCCCAAAGCTGAGAGGAAGCACTTATAAATTAACACTAACAAGAGTTGTTCCCCATTAATCTGCCATTACATATACTGTAAGCTTAATAGCAGAAGCAGAAAAAGTCAGTCCCCCCCCCCTCCCCAAATCTAGTAACCTGTCAATATCCGGCTGTTCTAGAGTCCAACGCTGTTCCAAATCCTGACCTTGCAATAAAGTCAAACCATGTTCAGTGGTGATCAAAAGGTCACTGCAATTGCTGTCAGGAGATTTCACTGCCTGTAGAAACACAACGCCTCCACTGCAAGATGCAGAGAGCAAACAAAAGTAATGAGTAAATTACAGTAATGTCAATCATTTTTCCAGTATACTCAATTCCTACTGCTTTTCTGATCATGGATTCATGGCAGCAGTGTTGTACAGAAAAGGTTTCCCATTTTTTCTTCTAATGTGTTTTTTTTTTAAATTTCCAATCTATTGTATAAGCCTAGGACTTTCTGATGGGCTCTGCTTCAAGTATTAACCAGGTCTGTGCCTTCTTTTTATTTTTCTGTTATTATAAAAGCAATAAAAATTTATCTTAAAAAATAGTTCTAACTCAGTTTAGCTTTTCTAGATTAGCCAATGCTGGGTAATTACTACCATTCATTCAGCAGGATGTTATTGTGGTTTCTGTCCTTGGAGTCTTCTAATTTTAATCTCACAACAATTGTGCTGGGTATTTGAGGCTCAGAGAAAGCACCTGGGCCAAGACATTTATGCTATCCCTTATAGCTTTTCTGTAATAGAAAAAGAGTGAAGGAAAGTTGTTAGTGTCCAAGCATTCTTATAAGATAGGGTTACCAAATGCAGATAGATGCTGAGACAAACTCTCAATCAAACCATAGTTAAATTCCCATGAAGGAGAAGGTTCTGTAAATAGTCTGGAGCAACATCTAAACAACTTGTGTATTGCTAGGAGTATGTGAGAGACACTTCAGACTTTCACTTTTTAAGCCCACCAGAAATATTGCAGCATAATTTGAACAGAATATTAAAAACTAATTCCAGTATAAAATGTTTGTGTTAGGGTTAAGGAAATTGTCCTGCACTTTGCTAAGGAATAAATAGAGTATATAGGTAGTCCTTGACTTAGGACCACAATTGGGCCCAAAATTTCTGTTGTTAAGCAAGGCAATTGGAAATGTTTACAACCTTTTTTGCCATGGTTGTTAAGTGAATTACTGCAGTTCTTAAGTGAATCATGTGGTTGTTAAGCAAATCCAGCTTCCCCCATTGACTCTGCTTGTTGGAATCCAGCTGGGAAGGTCTCAAATGGCAATCACACGACCCTGGGATGCTGCAGTCTTTATAAATACATGCAGGTTGTCAAGTGCCTGAATTCTGATTACTTTTTATTTATATGGCTGCCCAACTCACTCTCAATGACCCTGGGTGGTTTACAAAATCCCAATGCAAAAAACAATATAAAAAGCAACACACATACACACACAGCGGCAATAATCAAACAAGTCATCTGATGGGCTCGATATCATTTTGGGGTCCCCAGGCCCATTGATAGAACCATGTCTTCAGGGCCTTGCAAAAGAGTGTCAAAGTGGAGGCCAATCTTATTTCTGCAGGGATGATGTTCCACCGGGAGGGAGCCACCATGGAGAAGGCCCTTCTTCTTGATACCCACCCTATGGAACTCCTTAGGAGGGGAAACCCATAGCATTGTGCAAAGATGATCATAAGTCACTGTTGCTAAATGAATGGTTGTTAAGGACTTACCTGTATGCAAAGTGTTTAGATATCTGGGTTGTTTTTTTTTTCAGAAAACAAGTAAAACAGGAAAAATCCAAAATGATTTAATTTCATTAAATTAGATTAAACTAACTAAAATAAATCAATACGATTACAGCCCATGTTCTTTAATAATGTTCTTTTCTGCCGATTACATATTAGAATTCAATGATCACTTTTGGGCGGGTTCAAAGAGCTGCATTCAAAGCTTTCAGAGGCTGCCTGTGCCTGAGGCCCCAGGTCTGCCCTCTAGAGAAAAACAAAGAAGCAGCATGTCACATGCTCAGTGACGCAGGACAATGAACCATATCACATTGCAAAATGTTGTGTAGCATAATACACACAATGGACTCTGACAGACTCTAAGTGGGGTCGAAGCAGACCATTATTTACATCAGAGGTAGGGAACTACTGGTATGACCCCTTTATGACTTATGGCTGGCTCAAGAATTCTAGGAGTTGAAGTCCATAAGTCATTAAGGGGCCATAGTTCCTTACTCCTGATTTACATCCATGCAGCTTGCAGATAATTCTGTGCCCACTATAAGATACCAATGGAGTCCTAGGTTTCACAGCTCTATGTACTTATCCAGGACCTAGAATACCATTATGTATACTTATCTCCATATGCAGCCCCTCTGCTAGTGTTACAGATGTGTCTGTGCCCAGGTTGATAAATATTTTAAGTAATATAATCTGAAAGAACTATTCCTATCCCAACCTTTTAACTCTAATTTTTAACCACTAAATATTAATTTTCATTTTCAAACTAGATAATTCTTATTGTTTATTAGTTACCATCTGTAAATTTAGGGCTAATTTTAGCTACTTTATGATTCAGGTTTTTATGTTCTTAGTTATTTTTTGATGTTTTTTTTAATTTGTTCTGTTTTGTATAGTTTTATATGGTTCATTTTTAGTGTCTAATAGACAACCCATGCCCCATTCAGTCACCATTTCAAAGATATTTCCTTACCTAAAACAGTAAGACAGAATGATCAAGGATTGACAAAATGCAGTGGTAGCAGGAGCAACCTCTAACTTCCTGCCGGCTTCTCCACTGAGTTTCCTTGTGGGAATCTGGCAGGCGCATTGGAAAGCTCCCTCCTTCTCTTACTCCCTCTCTCCCTTCTTTCCCCCATCCCTTCCCAATAGGCAGGTAAATTGCTGTTGCTGGGTGGGGCAAAGAGCAAGAGATTGCAAGATTGGCTGGGAAACTCACAGAACATTGAAAATGGAGATCATATGACCACAGCAGCAGCCCAGCACAAGCTACAATCTCCTCAAATTTCATTCCCTTGGGAGTCATGGGTTGAAAATTGTTGTTCATTATTTCATCCAATTAAAGGTCATGACAATTTTTTGTAATACACAGATATTTCCAGCGCATGACGCATTGCTCTTGCCCAACTGCAGTTTTAGTTTAATCTTAGCTTTGCAGTATATGTATATTGGACTTGGATCACAACAGCAAAAATAATCGGACAGTCAACTTCAATGGTCTACATAATGAAAGGAAAAACACTCCTTTAAGCAGTTGCAACCATTTAAAAAAAAGAAAACCTATATCATCACACTCATTTCTCTAAATCTTTAGCTAGCTGAAGTTTCATGCCTTTCACCCTGAATTAAGACTGGATGATTCACAAATTTCACTGTAGAGAAAAGATAGTGTCCCACCTGTAAATATCAATGAACTCTAACATATTGACCGATCTGTGTTTCTCCCACTCTGGTTCTTCGTGCTGCAGCACTGGAGGGAAATTATCATGATTTCTGGCCTGAGCAAAGATATCTCGTAAAGCAACTGCATAGACCGGACCTAGGTAGAAAGGAAATACAAAGTCTAAAATTCTCTTGTCTTTGATAAAGCAGGTATGAAATCAGTCAGGAGCTGGAAAGCTAAAGGCATACAGGTTGCAGTAGAGATATCCCATCATTATGAGAGCCTTTATACAGATAAAAAAATAGCCATTCTACAATAATCATATTTTTGTTCAGTAGATCTTGGAGACTTTATGGTGGGTCTGTGGATTTTTCTCTCAGAACCCTTTACATTTAGTCTTCAAGCTTTCATGGCAAGCTTTCATGGACTCACTTAGTGGAACACATTAACTACTTCTGCACTACAGGCCAATACATGTTTCAAGACTCATTTATAGCATCTATAAAATTCTCCTACAAGACTCTTTGCATTTGCATTAATGTGACACATTATCCAAATTATTATTGTGGTTGATCGCATAGTCAGCCAGATGTTTAGGGTGGATTTGGCATTTTTACCTACCTATCAAGTCCTTTCCAAGACGTGGGAAAGACAGATGTTGTTTGATGATGTTAAAAGTATTGCTGCAGCATGTAAGTTTTTCCAAATAAAGCTGCCTTTTGCAATTGACTGATGGTGGTTTTGTCAATGCTGAGGGTGTTCAAGTGATACTCCAGATGTTTTCAGATTGCACCCAAGGTGCATATTAATATTGATACTATCTTTGCTTTCTTTTGCCATTTTCTATTATTTTGTCTATTTTGTTTTCCACTAGTTCTTGCCTGCAAACAAATTTCTTGCAGATCTTCCAATGCTCCATTATTGCTACTCTGTCATGCCATTGTTTGCAGTCAGTCTGTGTGATCGTCTGGCAGCAGCTAAGCAGGCGGCCACTCTTTCTTCAGATGGCATTTGCTGTTTGTTAACACCTTCCCAATTCTAGCTTTGTATGCATTTGTTCTTAAAGCTTAGTTTGTGCAGCCAGAATTAGTCCCACTGTCTCTTCAACTTTATGACTCTTAGCCATTGCCAGGTTTTTCCTGTTATCTAATTTGCTTGCTAGTTTTTTTGTGTATTGGCCATGTAATATTTTGCCTTGCTATGTTGCTTTTTTATTCTTCATTTGGTCTTTCTTGTACACCAGTTTGATCTCCCTGGTATTCAGTAAGTTTTCATGATGATGATGATGATGATGATGATGATGATGATGATGATGATAAAAAATTGGAAGGGACCTTGGAGGTCATCTAGTCCAACCCCCTGCTCAGGCAGGAAACCCTATACCATTTCAGACAAATGGCTGTCCAGTCTCTTCTTAAAAACTTGCAGTGTTGGAGCATTCACCGCTTCTGGAGGCAGGTTGTTCCACTGGTTGAAGAGCACTGGGCCTAGAAAAGAGCCCTGGGGCACCCCACTACACACTTCCCTCCATGTAGATGCGGTTCCATTGAGGACCACACACTGAGTACGGCTGGTCAGCCAGCTATGGATCCATTTGGTGGTGATGCTGTCTAACCCACATTTTTCTATCTTGTCAAGTAGTAGGTTGTGATCTACTTTATCAAATGCCTTACTGAAGTCCAAGTAAATTATATCCACAGCATTCCTCTGGTCCACTAATTTTGTCACCTGGTCAAAGAATGCAATAAGATTTGTCTGGCATGATCTTTTTTGACAAACCCATTTTGGCTTTTAGTAATGACTGTGTTTGCCTCTACGTGTTCGCTGATTCGTTGTTTGATTATCTTTTCCAGAATCTTCCCAGGTATTGAGGTCTGTAATTTCTGTAATTTCTGTAATTTGTCTGTAATTTCCTAGATTCATTTTTTTCCCCTTTTTTGAAGATGGGAACTACATCAGCTCTTTTCCAGTCCTCTGGTAGTTCCCCAGTGCTCCAGGATCTTTTGTGCATCTCCAGTGCATCTTCTTTACTGCCCTTCAGATATTCTTCCAATACCTTTTTCTTTTCTTCAACTGTGTGGTGTAGTTGCAACATTCCACATCTGCCTATGCTCATTGGCAAGAACCTGTAAACATCACTGCATGGTTGGATTCATTGTCATTATTTTTCTGATCTTCCTATCCAGGGCTTTTAGTTCTGCGTGAGTCCAGTTCACTATTCTAGCTGTATATCTAATGATTGGATTTGCCCAGGTGTTCATTGCCTTGATTGTATTTCTGAGTTTGGACTTGAAGATCTTTTATATAAGGTAGTCCTCGACTTATGACCACAACCGAACCCAGAATTTATATTGCTAAGTGAGAAATTTGTTAAGTGAGTTTTGCCCCATTTTATGACTTTTCTTGTCACATTTGTTAAGTGAATCACTGCCTTTGTTAAATTAGTGACACAGCTGTTAAGTGAATCTGGCTTCCCCATTTGACTTTGCTTGTCAGAAGGTTGCAAAAGATGATCACATGGCCGTGGGACACTGCAACCATCCTAAATATGAAACAGTTGTTAAGCATCCAAATGTAAACCATGTGATCATGGGGATGTTGCAATAGTCATAAGTGTGAAAAATGGTCATAAGTCACTTTTTTCAATGCTGTTGTAACTTTGAATGCTCGCTAAACAAACTGGTGTACTCTCTTCATGCGTTCAATTCTAATTTCTTAACTTCTTAACTTCAGTGTGCTTGATGTTGTTAACTTGAAGGATATCCAGGTATTTGTAGTGATCTTCTTCAGACTCTTGATGTTATTTCCAATAGGGCATCTAGATTCCTTCCATTTCCACTATTTTCCCCTGTTGATGGTAAGGGTGGTACATTTGCCCAGTCCAAACTCCATTGCAATATCTTAGCTGTATTTACAGACAGTATTGAGCAGTGATTCTATTTCAGATGGTGCTTTTCCATACAGCTTCAGATTCCCCATGTAAAGAAAGTGGGATAGCCTGGCAGATGCTTTTGATGTTTGATAGCCATGGCAGGACTTGTTCTGTTTTGTTGACAGAGGAATTAGTGCAATGACAAACAGTAGTGGTGATAGTGAGAGTCCTTGAAAGATTCCACTCTTGCTATTAATCTCTCGCAGTCTATCACCATTGACCAGCAACTATGCTTTTTGCACAAAGCTTCTAATATTTCTATTGATTCCTTCTAAGCACTTGATTATTCAGTTATGTGGCAGGGAGTTGAATGCCTTCTTTTACATTCAAGTTGATGTTCCTTCTCTTGCAGTTTTTCCAAAATCATCTTTTCAATTAGGAGCTGCTCTTTTGTTCTTCTGCTGTTTCGGCCATTTCCTTTCGGCTCAGGTATCGTTATATGTTTAGCTTTTTTATATGACAGAACTTGGTACCTTTCTAAGTGATATAGTGCCAGTTATATGTATATATGAAATAAAAGCTTTTTAAAAGATACTGAATATGGTTAGGCTTTACAGAAAAGTAATGCCCATAGTGATTTTATTTTTTACCACCATGCCAATTAGATATTCTTTAGGAATGGTAAATCGCTATGCTTGATATGATTTTGGCATTTATAAATTAAAGAAATAAATATCCTGAAAGTGAAGCCCATGAAATGCTTGTCATCAGAACCAAAGTGATGCTGCCAGGCTTTATGGGTGAAACTCTTTCTGTGTAATTTCAATGTGATTTAGAAATAAGAATAAGAAAGCAACTGGACATTTTACCAAAGCCAAACAGGATGTAGACTGCTCCATGGCTGGTGATATAAGTCTGTGGACCAATCAGTTTTCCTCTTCTAATGATATTGTACTTCACAGGTCCTCCCACAGGGTTTCCAGTTTTACCCGATATCAAGATAAAGCTTAACTCTGGCTAGATAAGAAAAAAAAAGGTAGAAGGAATGTGAAGATGGAAATCCAATCTCATTCTAATGCACATCCAAGAAAGACTGAATGAAAAACAGTTTTTTTAATTTTCTAGCTGCATCCTGTTAAACTTATCAGGTCCTTATTTAGCCAATCTATCCGAGGGTCAGATGCTGTGGGGAAAGTTGAGCACAGCATATTACAGCAGTTTGCGAATTAACAAAAATCTATATTTTTCTGCTTTGGAAAAGAAAGCTGGCACATCGTGGAAGATTATTTATTAAGCAATTATTCTAGCCTTGCCTAATCTGTTACTCTCTAAATATCTTGGACATCCTGTTGGAAAAGGTTGGAATAAACTATAAGGAAATAGTGTGTTCAGATCTTCCTCCTTCCTGCCCCAGGCTTGGGAAATGCACCCTACCTGTGTTTTACCAATGGTCAAGACCATCAAATCGCTGACCCGATCTCCATCCACATCAGGTATAACAACAGCTGGAGCAGCCAAAATTCCATTAGGAAAGTGGGAGGAATCAAAGGTCCAAACTGGCTTCCCTAAAGGATGATATACAATAAAATTTGTATCAGCCAAGAAGCATCTTACAAACTGGCTAGGGTTTACAAGTAGGGCAGTGGTGGCGAATCTATGGCACGGGTGCCAGAGGCAGCACTCGGAGCCCTCTCTGTGGGCACATGTGCCGTTGCCCCAGCCTTCCCTCCCCCCACGACCCCCTCCTCTCCACCAGTCCCCCTGAAGGAGAGTCGCCCTTGAGCGTGGCCCACACGGAGCAGCGCAGCCAAGGACATGGCAGCCAGGCAGCGTAGACAAGACTCTGTCCTCACACCCCATCATGCAGTTGATGCTGCAGGGCGCGGGCAGAGGGTGTGACTGCCATAGCGCTGCTGGGCTGCCTGGGTGATCTGCAGCGGGCCCTGGAGGCAGTGAATGGTCCTGTGGGCAGGCGGGGCAGGAGATAAGGGGGTAGAGCAGGGGCGGGGCAGGGGGGTGGAGCAGGGGCAGGGGCAGTTTTTGGGCACTCGGTCTTTAAAAGGTTCGCCATCACTGAGGTGGGGTGTGCTCGATTGGTGAGGGCATAGGGGGATGTGGCAATTGAACAAACTTCAACCAAAAGCTGGTCACATCTATCAAGCACTCAACTTAGCACTTTCCAGGTATGTTAGGATTGCAACTCCAATAATTTATTTTCTAAAGAACATTGGAAATACAAGTAATTAAGTCAGATCCAAGGTTCCCAACCCTACACTGCACTGTCCCAGGGCTGCCCCAGCAAACCCACAGGAGTGTCACAATTATTACTTACTAAACAGAACTTTTATTGCTGATGGGCACCGTTTGGGGACCACTAGGGGCACCATGAACTCAAAAAAAATTGGAAACCTTTATCTTGGTTTTTTTTTTTTTTCATATTTGGTGACAATGTTGCAAAACCCAGAAGTCCTAGATTTATTGGTAGTCCTTGACTTATGACAACAATTGAGATCAGAATTTTGCTCATAAGCCATTGCAGTCTAAAGTCGAGTCACATGTTACCGGACTTGATTTTATGACTATTTTCCAATATTTGTTAAGTGAATCACTGTAGTTGTTAAGCAAGTCACATGGTCATAAGTCTAAATCCAGCTTATCCAATATGTGTTTTTTTGCTGTAAAACATTTTTAAAAATCACAAAATGCAATCACATGACCACAGGATGCTGCAACCTGTCATAAATACAAGCCAATTACTAAACATTTAAAATGTAATCACATGGTTGCAGACTGAACACAAACTGTTACACCTCCTTCACTTGAGACAAAGTGCTATAGAGTATTGAATGCCAAGACAGCTAGACACAGGACAGCTAGATACAGGAAAAGCCCTGATCTAGAGAGTGTTAGGTTGGGGGGGCGAAGGTGGCAGAAGGAGAATAAAATATAGTTTGACCTGCAAAATATTTGCCACTTTACAAATCTGCATGTTTCTAAAATTGTGTCTTACAGTGAAATTATTGAGTCTTTTTGCATCCATTATTGAAGATTACATTATTTTAAAAGTAATTCATATGGTTAATCCTGAAGAATGAAGGTTGACAATTCAATGGCACAGTAGACCATTGACACTTCTCATCTAAAAGATCAAGTGTTGGAAGAAAAAAAAAGCTGTCCAACAAGATATCATTATTCCTTCTATTAAACTTGCGAGTCAGAAAAGGAGCTAACAAACTCCTCATTTTCAACAGTGTGAATTATTAGCTGCACCAAGTCAACTTACCTGATGAGGCACTCAGAAGACTGAGGAATGTAGAGGTCCCAGTAACAAGGCAGACAGGTTCTACAGAGAATGCAAAGTCCAAATTCTTACACTGCACACCCAGAATCTCTTCTTTAACATGACTGGACCATAAGATGCTGCCGTTCATACCCGAAAGTGCCATTATTGTTACCCATGGTGTGGAGACACCTGAGGACACAAGTACAAGAGGTAAATTGATCTTTCTATAAAGAAAAGGGAGAAACTGCTGTGAAGTGTTCTGTTGCATTCAGATTTTTCCAAGGCTACTTGGAAAGTAAAGTATACATTGCAACATATCCCAGGAAGTGAATTAATTCAATTGATTAATTCAACCCTAATGTCCTTTTAACACCCTAATCCTAAATTATTTCCTCAGAAATCAGTCCTGCAATGAGATTCGCCTCCTGGATATATTCCCAAAGGATCACAGTTTGAAACTGCTATCCTAAGCACACCGACTCTGTTTTAACTATACACAAAATGGAACTGAGCATTTCCAGCTTTTTTCAATAGACAGCAGTTTATTAACTCAGTTTGTTTTCCCAACTCACAATCACTGTGTTAATTATGGTACAAAGAAAAAAATAACTTTATTTTTAGTTAGCATCCAAGGACCAAGAAATAATCCTCCATGAAAACTGTCTAACACATCAGTCAAAACAAGATTTATTAAGTTTTCTCTGTTGCTTGATCATGTTCTCTTCATTGAAGAATCTGTTATGTCTTTAAACGTGCATCACATTGAAGAATAATATAACAAAATAGAACATATATTGTTTTCTGACTCAGGATCTAAAGGGTACCCCAAAATGTCTTCCATGCACACGCTTTCCCTTACCACAATTTCCTGGCCAAAGCCCTACCCAGCAAAAGGACTTTTTAAAAAACTCACAATAGTTGGCTTCACATATCAAATTAAATGTTAATGTCATATGTTTTGTTTAGCATGCTGAATCTAATACTATGGATTATAAATCATGTTTTGCAATTTAGTGTAAGGGTCTACAACTTGAGGTCAAAAGATGTGTGTGTAATTGTCAGAGAACTTCAAAGTTATCAAATGGAATTTTTAATGTGCCCAAGGAGGAAAATTACTAAGAGGAAATACATTACTGGAGGGTACTAGTATTAATTACAATTAATTTTATCTAAATACAGATGAAATGAAATCAAACTGGCTTTTTTTTCCTAGCACTGCCCACTGTTTTAGTCCTTTCAAGTTCAATGGCCCAAAATGGCTCTTTATAAAAAGAAAAAGCATGCCTATATTGTAGTACAATATGCAAATCCAGCCAACTGTAGCTTAATACAACATATGGTGGCAAAAGTAAAATCAGTCATTTTCTGCAGCAGCTTTCCTAGCCTGATGCCTCCAATTACCAGCCTCTGGAAATGCAATTATACACACATTTCAGTTCTTTCTCTTTGGATATAGTGTTGTAGTTGCTATCCCTTCCATTTGATATTTTACATATCCAAAGAATGCATGAAGAAAGAGATGGGTCAAATGTTCAGAATCTGCTCCCAAAACACTAGTCGGTGCATCCACAACACATTGGGAATAAGATCTGAAGTGTAAAGTTTCAACTAAATATTATATACAACCTCCTTTCAAAGATATGCATCTAGAATAGATCAGTGATTTTCAACCCTGGTAACTTTAATACATGTGGACTTCAACTCCCAGAATACCCCAGCCAGCAATCTCCACTACCATCTCTAGTTATTCTACCTTCCTTTATGTATATACCAAAAAGGGGCAGAGGTTCAGGAAACCAGGCAACCATACTAAATTTTGGGGGCCACGTGCAGCTTTTGTCTGTTCATTTCTTAGGAACAAAAGAGACAAATTGTACTGTACTCTGGACAATGACATACTGGCCAATATGTATGTGTTTGCTTTTCTTTTCCTTTTTAAAGCAAGTGATTGTTCAGTAAGAAATCAACAACACTAAATATTTTGTTTTAAACTGTCACCCAGATATGGAGAAATTGGCTTCATGTCCCTTTCAGGCAAGGGAGCTAGAGAGAAGGTTGGGTTTGTGGGCTGCCAGCTTGCTACAATTCCATTATGTTCTCAATTCTGAACTTACTTGGTAGGATTTGCACACTTACCCAGTACACTAGCATTTTTCAAAGCTGTGAAGGAGAGTAAGACATCAGGGATACCATCATTATTTACATCAAAAAGTTCTGGTGGAAACAGAACTCCATCTGAAAAAAAAGGTGTAATAATTACTTTTCTACAGTGTACATCCTATCTATTCTAAACATATTTAGGATGGCTATCGATACAGCAATCATAAAAATCTTGTGGCAAATGTAATCTCACTACTTTCTGCAGCTTAACCCACTCAGACATATTTCTTGACCATTTAATCAATTCACTTGAGCTAACATCTCACAAAACTACATTCTTAAGAAGCTTTTGACCCCCTCATCCTGAAACTCAATGTCACTACGATTGCTACAAATGTAAGGGAGAGTTCAGATCACCTAAAATCCAAGTACATTATGTACCTGGCATGAGTTCTACAACATTTCAATATGAGTAAAAGAGAATTGAACAAGATTGATGCCAGGACTGGCCCAAAGCAACAAACTGGAATCTACGCAGCAGGAAAGATAAGTTACTGATGTAAAGCTATTTTGAGGATGACTTCATATCATGCTGTGATTTTTAGAAACTACAAATCCTACTCTTCACTCTCAACATAATAGCTCTTGCACAAAGTATCTTGTACTGTACTAAATATCAAAGTTGTTATACCATTTCCATATAATTCTGAAGTGAGAAACATGGAGATCCAAAGATATCAAAAAGAGCATTTAAAAATGGCATTTCTAGCTTCAGAATAACAAATTAAGCAAATTAAGAAATAAAAGATAATTGTTTTGTTTCCAGGAATACTAAATTATCTTAAATTTAAGCCCTCAGTTTTATTTCTCTGTCCAAAGGTCAAATTTAGTTAACATTCCTATGTATGACTCAAAAGATTCACATATGCACATTAATTATATAGCCATTAAATGTTCAACTGGATAGAGCATTTAGTTCAATGTATGTGTAATTGCTATATTCAGAATCAAAGAAAATAAATCTTTGAACAGAATAACTGCCACAGGATTAAATATATTTATGTAACTGGTTTAAAAATAAGCTTTAACATATTTTGTTTATGGAATTTGAAATAATTTGGTACAATTGCTTTAATTGGACATAACCTAAGATAGCTTTTACTAAATTGAAATAAAACTTTCAAAACGGTACAAGTAAAATATACTTAGATGTAATATTTTATATCAGGGAGTTATGGTTTTGGGGAGATATGGATTTTATAGCTACAATATTTGTGTATATGCATGTTTGGAAGACTGATACTTACATTTTGATCCAATCTCTTTTTATAGACTTTTGTGTGCAATTATTTGTTTTGAAAGATTAGCCAGTTTTTCATGACATAGATCCAGATTATTCACTTCCCTTCAAGCATTTATTTTTGGTAGAACCCACCTTTGAAAGTTTTAATGCCTACAAGACATTAAAGTCTTGGATTAAGGCTATTTGCTGCCTTTCCTCCAAATACTTCGTGCCTCATCCCTCCACTTATTATCCTTTCAACTACCATGAGTAGCATTTTCAACTTGAACCTTCTTAGATGAAATGTGATAGTCTATATCCATTGCCTCATACTGGCTGTGTAGTATACCTTTGTACAACATTAGTGGGGAGAAATGCAGAAAGTTCTACTTCATCTACCATTCCAAAATTTTGCTTTTCCATCTTCTCATTGTTGATTGATATGCCAATCTATACACATCTTCTATTACCAATAACAGACATGGGTTAGCCTCCGATTGGACTAGTTCAGGCGGGCCAATGGAGGCAGGTCTTGAGTCCATTTTATGGGAAGAGTTTGATCCTGTGACCCCCGAGGACATGGACAGAATGCTGGGACGGCTGAACACCACCACATGTTTATTGGACCCGTGTCCCTCCTGGCTGGTACTGGCCTCCCGGGAGGTTACACGAGGCTGGCTCCAGGGAATCATCAACGCTTCTTTGAGTGAGGGGTTCTTGCCGGCTGCCTTGAAAGAGGCTGTGGTGAGGCCCCTCCTCAAGAAGCCCTCCCTGGACCCGGCTACTTTGGCCAACTACCGGCCTGTCTCCAACCTTCGCTTTCTTGTGAAGGTTGTTGAGAGTGTGGTGGCACGACAGCTCCCTCAGCACCTGGAAGAAACTGTCTATCT